AAAAAAAAATGAAGTATCTAGGAATCAACCTAACAAAGGAGACAAAAGACTTCTATGCTGAAAATTATGGCACTCTAAAAAAAAGAGATAGAAGAGAATATAAGAAGATGGAAAGACATCCCTTGCTCCTGGGTAGGAAGAGTCAACACAGTGAAAATGGCCATACTTCCAAAACTGCTATACAGATTCAATGCAATCCCAATTGACATCCCAACAGTATATTTCACAGAACTTGAGAAAACAATCCAAAAATTCATTTGGAACCACAAGAGTCCTAGAATAGCAAAAATCATGCTAGGGAATAGAGACATGGCAGGGGACATCACAATTCCCAACTTGACTATACTACAAAGCCACTGTGATAAAAACAGCATGGTACTGGCAAAGAAACAGACCTGAAGATCAATGCAATAGATTAGAAGATGCAGAAAGAACACCAGACATATTCAGCTACCTCATCTTTGACAAAGGAGCCAACCCTCCTCAGTGCAGGAAAGATAGCCTCTTTAATAAATGGTGTTGGAAAAACTGGTTTTCAGCTTGCCAAAGATTACAACTAGATCCATACCTTTCATTATGCACTAAGCTAAAATCCAAGTGCATTAAAGATCTAAATATCAAAACAGAAACACTAAATTTACTGGAAAGTAAATTAGGTAGAACTCTCAAAGACACTAGCATAGGAAAAGACTTTATGAACAAATCCTCAGCAACATGAGAACTTGCACAAAGAATTAACAACTAGGATCTCATTGTATTAAAAAGTTTTTGCAGTGCAAGAGAAACCACAAACAGAGCTAAGAGACAACCTACAATGTGAGAAAAAAAATTTACGAGGTGTTCCTCAGACAAAGGACTACTATCTAGAATATATAACAAACTCAAAAAAATCAGATCCCCCACATACAAAATCGTGATCCAAAAATGGGCACCTGAATTGAACAGACGTTTCTCAGACAAACAAGTAAAAGCAGAAAATAAGTATATGAAAAAATGTTCAACATCACTGGTCATTCGAGAGTTGCAGATTAAAACAACACTGAGATTCTACTTCACTCCCGAAAGAATGGCTGCTATCAAGAAATCAATCAATAACAAATGCTGGTGGGGCTGTGGGGAGAAAGGAACCCTTCTCCATTGCCGGTGAGAGTGCAGACTGGTGCAGCCACTGTGGAAATCAATATGGAGATGCAAAGAACTAGGATTAGAGGTCCCATTTGATCCAGCTATCCCTTTGCAGGGTATCTTTCCAAAAGAATTAAAAGAATCATACCACACAGTGATATATATGGACCCATGTTACAGAGGCACAGTTTGTAATAGCTAAAATGTGGAAACATCCCAAATGTCCTTCAACTGGAGACAAAAGAAAATGTGGTTTTTCCTATAAAATGGAGTAGTACTCAGCCATAAGGAATGAGAAACTAGTGACATTTATAGCTAAATGGATGTACATTAAGGCTATATTCTTATGTGAAATAGGACACACTTGAGTAAATGCTGAGTAGTTTCTCTGGTGTGAAAAACTAAAAGTGTAAATAAGGTTCAAATGGTATAACGGACAGTGTGAAATAGGAAGAAAATTGCTAAAGGAGAAATGGGAAGGGGAGGGGAAAGGAAATAAGGGGAAAATGTGAAAAAAAGGAAAAAAATGGAAACAAATCTTTGTAAATAGGGAAGGGTGGAGGGGGTGAAGGGAGGGCAGGGTATGGGGAAAAAATAATAACCAAGACCATCATGCAAAGGTCCAAGATCCCAATGATAAATATAACTGTATTGTTTGCTTTAAAGGTACCAATTAACTTAATGGGGAAAAAAGTTAGCAAGGACATGTAGCAGCTGGAGAACTCAAACCCTACTAATGGGAGAGTAAAATGAAAGCCACTTAGAAAAAGTGGCAGTTTCTTATAAAGATAAATGTGATTGCTTCCTATATCCCAGCCAGTCCATGCTTACCTGAGAAATATGAAAATATACTTCTGCCAATGTTTATTGCCAGTTTTTCCTAATCACCCCTAACTGGAAAACAGTCTGGATGCCTAGCAAAAGAATCTTGGACCCACACATTGTGTTCTTTACACAAAAGGGTGCCATCACAAAGGAAGACTGTGATGGATACACAACGTTAACAGGGATGGGTCTTAAAAACAGTTTACCATGTAAAACAGGCCAGATGCTAGGTGATTATGGGCAGTGATTTTAGCTTAGAGGCAGGACACTTTCCTAGAGGCCCCAGGTTCCAGACCCAGAGCCAAAAAATAAATAAATAAATAAAATAAAATCACAGCCATGCTTATTTGGTGTGAGGATGTGGGCACTGATTTGGCTGGAAAGGGATGGGAAAGTACTTTTATGGGTCATAAAAATGTTCTATACTATAGTTTAGATGATGATTACATAGGGCCAAAGCTCAAATGATACACTTAATGTTTGTGTATTTTCCCATCCACAAAACATACATCATAGTAAGCAAATAGTAAGCCTTTTATTTTATAATACTTATTCCAATCTGAAATTTAAAGTGTGATGTTTCTCTATTAATGCCCATCTTTCCTACATGGTAGGTCAGGCACTAATAGCTCTGAAAGCAAAATGGCTTCTAAAATGAGTCAGTTGGTGATCTTAAGCAATTTGCAGTCTATAAAAGTAGGGGTCAACCCGTCCTTATCCACTCTGGGTTGTATGGAGCTCCATATGGGCTGGTACTCAAGGATTATTTGTGAGAGGCACGAGTATCCAGGGTTTAGGAAATCAAGAGGCAATGTTGCTGTATTCAAAACTCACACACTGGTTCTGTCTTTCCCTCCCTTCTCTCCTTATGCTACTTTCCCTGGTGAGTGTATCATGTGCTGTACTGTGTGGGTGTACAGACAAGGATCCCTAACTTTGAATCCAACAATCAGTGACACATGGATGGGTGGATTCTAAACTAAAGGGGGCACCATCCTTCTTCCATAAATCATAGAATAATTTGAGGATAAACCAAGATTTTGCTAGAGAAAAAATAACTAGAAGTACTAATGTGCTTGAAAAATTTTGAGATTTAGAAATCTGTTTCATAAGGCATCGACAATTCAAATTTGAATCTCAAAATTTTGCCAGTAATAATCATTAAAACGTCTGATTTTGAGCAGCACAGCCTTCTCATGGGTGGCCAATATTTGATTTGTCCAGCTGTTTAAATATCTAAAATGAAGATTACTCCAGTTGAAATTGTAACCATCAAGCAAGAAGGGGAAAAGCCAATAGGGGAAGAAAAACAGAAAATATTCCTATAATGCAGACTAATTTTCAAAACATTCCAAGGAAGTCAATCAGTAAAATCTTCAGCAAGATATAGATTATTATATAAATTTAGATAAGACAGTGCACTTAAGTTCTTTGATCTCCTGCAGTCATTTATATCTAGAAAATTGTCTGAAAGTGATGAATGTTAAAAAATTTAAAAGATGTAATTTTTATTGTATTCCTCTGGAAGCCAAGATCCACACCTTGTTTCTTGTGCCCTTTCCCACAAACCTCACGTGTCCAGAAAATTTATCATCATCAAGAAGCTCAGCAGAGTTTGTACTGAGTTATCCGCTGGAACTTACTATATATATATATATATATTTCTACACTGGGCATCACTCACCTTACAAGCAAGACCCCCGAAGGAAGACAGTAAACCAAACAGGCTCAGTAACAGTCTACTGTAGGACTGGACTTTGCTAGATGATTTCTGCTGTGGTTTAGATATAATTACTTGTGTCCCCCTAAGGTCCACACATTGGAGGCTTTGTCCCTAGGGTGGTACCACTGGGAGGTGTCGGGACCTTTAAGAGGTGGGGTCTAGGGTGAGGTCGTTATGCCACTTGGAGTGTAGCCCAGAAGAAGCTCCTGGGCGGTCTTTTGAGTTCTCCTGAGAGGGTTGCTACTAAGGCGCCAGCCTGGCTCCTCCTGATCTCTCACTTCCTGACTGTTTTGGTTTCCACCTAGATGTTCCCCCCAAAGGCCCCTGTGCTCATTGGTGGGGCTTCTGGGAGTTAATTGGATCGTGTGTGTGTGTGTGTGTGTGTGTGTGTGTGGCTCATCAGTGGATCGGTCCATGGACGAGTTTATAGCTAAACGTCTCGTTGGTAACTGAAGCCTGGTTGGAAGAGGTGGGTCATGGGGGTGTGGTCTGGAAGGGTCTTTCTCCTCCTCCTCTCAGGTGGTTCTCTTTTTCTTGCCTGCCATGCCATGAAGGATTTTCTCCTTTACATGTCCCTCTTCCATGCTGGCCTTGGAGCCAGCCAACTATGGACTGAAAGCTCTACAAGCTGGGAGCTCCCATAAACCTTTCCTCTTCCAAACTGTGGGTGTTGGGTATTGTGTCTCGGTGATGAACAAATAACCGAGATGCTGGCTCAAGATATGAAGGCTTGTTCTAACACATATTCCTACCCCTGTACTGTGCATGAAATAACACAGTCAAGGGGAAGCCCTTTCCATACTCCTGTGAATCCTTCTGGGCTTTAAACCTCTACAACTGGGAGCTAAATAAAAGTATTTTCTTAGCAAGGTAGTTTGTCTCAAGTGTTTGGTTATGGTGACGACAAGCTCACAAACACAACGCTTAGTAGGAAAAATGAGGCATTTGGTACTTATCTCCTTTTCCCCCTCAGAAGCGACTGGATGTTTAAGTCTGGATCTTTGACATTTCCCAATATTCTATCCGTGACCAAAATTAGGTGTACTGATGGAAGTCCTGGCCAGAATGAGTCCCTCCTCCTCTGCCTTGCTGATAGCTCAACCACATTGCCCTGCAGTGATTTGTCTACACATCTATAACTCACGATGAACCGAGCTCCTTGGGTCTGGGCACTTTCTCTTATGCCCTTGGCATCCAGTAGAGTGACTGCCATGCTCTGTCTCCAGAGTTTATGATGACAGGAGCGCAACAGAGTGCAAATAAGAACAGAAAGACATAGACATACGTTTTTGAAGAGACATACAACCTAAACAATGTATGTACTTACAACATAATTGAAGGATGTACCAGCAAGTATTGCAAACTGATGAAACAGTGTGTGTCTGGTAAACATCTCATTCTTAAGGGCATGAAAGCTGAAATAAAAGAAACCACGAAATTAAAATGTAGATACATCTTATGGTAAAGCAAATAGGTATGACTAGGGACCACAAGAAAATTGTACAATATTACCAAGTAAAAAAAAGTAAGAATGTGAGTATAAACTTATTATTTCTCCCATTTAAAAGATAACAGCTCAGAAAAGAAATTATGACAGTGAGTACCCCTAGCACCTAGACTGTGGATTAAATATTTCTCACTAAAATGAACTAGAGAATCTTTCAGAAATGGCTCTTCCTAGATTTAAGGTAATTAGTGTGCAAGATGAACTGGGGACATTTATTAAATCAGAAATGAAGTGATCAAAGATTGCATCAAAACAATGTCAGAGTCAACAGGAAAGGGCTCTCCTTGATTTAGAATTGGAGAAATTCAGCATCAATAATAATGACTACTTTGACTAAAACACTACAAATATACTTACCATTTAGAAAATGGCTGTTCCAACTGCAAAGGATGCTAACATTACATATGTTCTGGAGAAAAGCACACTCTGGAGAGAAAGCCAAGGGCATGACAAAACACCTTTTTCCTAGTACCACGGAAAGAACAAAAGAGAGCAGGAGCTGGCTGTGGGAGGCCACCGTAGTTCTGTGATCGAACACTTGCCTAGCACACACGAGACCTTGCATCTGACCACTAGCATAAATAAATAAAATCACAGCATTCCATCACATAGAAGTGTCTGTGTAGAGATGAGATATGTGGCCCACGAGTCTCCTTAGCTGCCTCAGTAAGAGTCCAAAATGGAGCTAAGGTTATCCAGGAAAGACCATAAAAGGATCGCTCTAATGGAGTAACTTCCCCTGGCATAGAAGGCAGGACCATAGGTTTCGAGCAGGTTATACCAGCAAAATCACTGCTAGTATGAGAAACAGACTGAGAAGCAAAGCTAAAGAGGAACACTGGACTCCCAAATCTCTATATGCAGGAAACCAACTAATAAAACAATCCAGTTGCAAACATATCATCTTTCATGGAAAAGTAAGGAAAACTCAATGACCAGTACTCTGGGTCTAGAGGGCGGAGTCTTGAGTCATAAGGAATTATTTCCAGGCCTTGAAACATAATGGAGTTTGTCATCCTATGACAAATTTGTCAGAATTGTTTGGACTAAAGATTCGTTTTGTTCCCTTGTGAATAAGAACATCTATAACCGTTACTGACATTTACGTCAATGGAATGGCCAGCCCACCATTTTATTTGGGAGCAAATAATCTGTTTTATATAATCTATAGTCCACAGATAGAGAGCAATTTTGTCCCAGAATGGATTGTAGCTAGAGCCACACCTAGGTTTAGATCATGACACTTGGGTTTCTGAGCTGAGGACACTTAGATGAGACTTAGAATTACTTGTCACTGCAATGGCCCAACACTTCGAGGTACCTCAGAGGAAGTATCTGCATTTTTCATGTGAGACAGGCATAAATATTTGGGAGGCAGAAGAGTAACTGGTAAATGAGATATGCCTTCAACCAAAACACCTACTTCCTAACCCCTAGAACCCAGAAGGATGTTGGCTAACATAATAAAAGGAACTTTAAGTTAAGGATTTTGAGGCAGAATGATTATTCTGGACTATCTTATAGGTCCAATTTAATTACAAGGGTCTTTTTATGAAGGGAGCAGGAGGATCAAAGTAGGTAAAGAATAAGACCTGGTGGCAAGGGAAGCAGAGGTTGGATTGAAATCAGCAGTCTTTAAAAGTTAGAAGAGGGCTAGGGATATAACTCAGTGGCACCGCACCTGCCTGGCAAGTGCAAGGTCCTGAGCTCGATCCCTTATACTGAAAAAAAAAATGTTGGAAGAGGCAAATAATTCACTAACCTACCTGGGATTCTTCAAAAGGAACAGACTCACCAACACCTCAGATATAACTATGTGCGAATCACTTTGGACTTCTGACCTCCATACTGTTTGATAATAAATTTGTGTTGTATTAAGTCACAAAAGTTGTTATAATTTGTTACAACAGCAATAGGAAACTAATACCTAGATTTAAGAATAAAAAAATTGGGCAAGTGCAATGAATAGATACTTCACAGATGAAGTACATTTAGCCAATAAATGCATGAAGACATGCTCGGCACTGCTGGTCACTAGAGAAATGAAAAATAGAACGATACTGAGATTTCATCTTACCCCAGAAAGAATGGCTATCCTCAGGAAATCAAATGACAACAAGTTTTGGTAAGGCTGAGGGGAGCACAGGACCCTTCTACATTGTTGGTGGGAATGTAAACTAGTACCGCCACTATGGAAACCATGTGGAGATTCCTCAAACAACGGAAACTAGAAACTCCATTTGACCCAGCTATTCTTATTCTAAATATCCACCCTGAAAGAGATAAAGATGTCATGTTACAGCGTCACACGCATATCCATATTTATAGCAGCACGGGTCACAATAGCTAAATCTTGGAAGTAGACTATATGTCCAACAGACGAATGCGTAAGAAAGTGTGGTATTAACACACCTTGGAGTACAAGCCTTCCATAAAGGAAGATTAATTTGAGTCATTTGTAGGAAAATGCATGTACCGTGAGGCCATCACATTAAGTTAAATAAATCAAGGGCCGGGGATTTAGCACAGTGGTTCCACCATGTGCCTCACAAGCGCAAGGACCCCCATTCAATCTCTGGTACTAACAAATAAATAATTAAATAGATCAGACAAACAAGTTTTGAATATTGCATGATTTCTCTTATATGAGAAACCCATATTACAAATAAAGAGCAAATTAAAAACAGGATTGGTGGGAGTGCAGACTGGTGCAACCACTATAGAAATCAATATGGAGATACCTCAAAGAGCTGGGACTAGAGGTTCCATTTGACCCAGCCATCCCTCTGCTGGGTATCTTTCCAAAAGAAGTAAAAGAATCATACCACAGTGATATATGTGCACCTATGTTTATAGTGGCACAGTTTGTAATAGCTAAAACTTGGTAACAGCCCATTTGCCCATCAGTTGGAAACTGGATAAAGAAGATGTGGTTTTTCTATAAAATGGAGTACTACTCAGCAATAAAGAATGAGAAATTAGATTCATTCATAGGAAAATGGATACATATTGTGGATATACTCCTAAGTGAAATAAATAAGTCACACATGTAAATACCGAATAGTTTCTCTGGTGTGAAAAACTATAATAGTACATAATATCCTAATGAGATAATTGACAGTGTGAAATAGGAAGAAAAGGGCTAAAAGAAAAAAGGCATAGGGAAAGTGGGAAGGGTAGGGGAAAGGTAATACAGGAAAAGAAAAAAATATGAGAAAATGAAAAAATGGAAATAAAGTGTTTGTAAATGGGGAAAGGAGGAGGGGTGAAGGGAGGGAAGGGATATGGGGAAAAAATGAGAACCAAGACCTGTCATGTAAAGGTACAGGATCCCAATAATGAATGTAACTGTACTATAGACCTAAAATGTACCAATAAACTCAATAAAAAAACAGATAGTAGGAATTAGGGAGCTAGATCTTCTTCAAATGGGAAGGGGAACAAGAGATGGAGGTGGGAGGAAGGGAGAGAAAGGGATGAAAGCAGGGATTCAGGCGCGTTCTGTACGCGGGCTGACTCTACTCAAGGAATGCAAGCACTGTGTGCTGGAAACAGGTAGTAAGCAAAGAATCACTTTATAGCAGTCATTTTGTAAAAATTATGAGTTGACACATTTCATATAATTGAGAAATTAAGAAGAAATAGAAAACTCCAATAGTCTTTAATGCCTTTAAATAATGAAATTAAAAAAAAAAAGAATCAGGGGCTGGGAGTGTAGCCCTTGCTTAGAATGTACAAAGCCCTAGGTTTGATCCCCTACACTACAAACAAACAAAAAAAGGATCAAGGCTTACAATCTACCTATCAAGATGAACTTTAGCCCAATTAATTAAAAAATGCATTTTGTAATCCTAATAACAAATAATTCTCATCTTATCCCCCAAATCTCTCAGGGAGCAGAAAAGAATTCTACAACAAATATCAAGAAGTTGGTAAAATCTTGATACTGTCAACAGGCAGGGACAATAAGAGAAAGAAAAGCAGGAGTTCAGTCACTTTTCGTGGACATACATAGAAAATTCTTAAAATATCAGCAAGTGGATTTCAGATTCCCAGGAGTCAGGTCTTGGATCACCATCATAGGAAAACACTGGCTGTAAGAGCAATCCCATGCCCCCTCCTCAAGTCCTGGGACTCAGAATGCAGCCAGCAGGAATGGGAGAGAGGAATAAGACCAAGAAAACTACTGTTTACTCACAAGTCCTGATCTACTCTGCTTTGGCTTGTGTGTTTCTTATGAAACTCTAACTTCACCTAAGATACAATTGAGTGTTTTGGGAGTATGCTTGTCCAGTCAGCTTCCCACTGCTATATCCTATAGCTAAGAAAATCAGTGTAAAGGAATAAAGATCTATTTTGCTCATGGTTTCAGAGTTTTTACTCCACGGTCAGCTGGCTCCATTGCCACGGGGCTGGGATCAGGCGGAAACATCATGGTGGCAGGGCTGGGTTGCTAGAGCAAAGCTGCTCACCTCATGGAGGCCAGGAAGAGGCTGAGCTAGAGGCAAAGCAGAAGGAAGAGGGGACTGGACAGACTCAGTTCTGAAGCACACACTGCTGTGACCCTCTCCCTTCCACTAGCCCCACTGCTGCAGTTCCTGTTACCCCCCAATAATGCCAGTCAACGATGAATGTATCCATGCACTCACTGATGCAGAGAGGAAGCCACAGGCCTTGTGGTTTAGTCCCTTCCCAAAGCCTTACCTCTGAGCCATGTGAGTCCTTGGAGCACATTTCATACAAAATCTAACGTGCTCATACAAAAATGGGATATTTAGAGTGCATCTATGTGAGAAGAAACAAGTGATCTGACTCTCAGTTATCTTTTCTATACTACTTTCCTGCAATGGGCAGAGAACCATACATAACAGTTAATATAAAAAAATTGGGGGTCTTGCTAGTAGTTCAGGTTGGTTTTGGGCTCACTACATAGCCCAGGCTGGCCTGGAACTTAGGAAGATCCTTCTGCCTCAGCCTCCTGAGCACCAACATTCCTGGTTTAAGAGTTTAAATTTGTCAGGTGTGGAATGATAAGAACTAGGGAGGACACATGAACCAGGAAAACTGCTCCTAATGTCTGACATTGAAGGCCAGCTGGACACTAGAAAGGGGAAAACCAGAAGTCAATAAGGAGCAGTGTAGAGTTTCTGTCACTCAAATCTAAAAACGGAGGGTTTTCTAACAGGCTCTAGGTGAAGGGAGAGGAAGGGAACAGGAACACAGGTTGGGCTTACATCTTGCCTAAACTCGCTAAACCGCTGGTAGAAATGAGTCAGAGGATGGGAGGGAGAAGTATCGGCGTGTGTATATAATGTTCCATCTGCGTAGCCCACAGTGCTGTGGGGGTCTCCTAGGTTTTCTGTGGGTCTGGGAAGTAGGATGGGTAGGAGTGAGATCAGCCAGCCCCACAGTCCAGTAGGCAGACCAAAGATGACTCGGAAGGACGCCAAGGGCTGCTCCCCGGGTGCCGGTGAAGATGTTGCCTCACCACGGCATTGGCCAGGTGGGATCTGTCCCGGAGCCTGCGCACCACTGTGGCAAGGGCAACGGAAGTGATGACACATGCCAGGCGTGTTGCACAGAGAAGGAGGGCTAGACCCACCTCTGTCTGCAGGCTTTATGTTCAGTCTTCTGGGAAATGGAGCCAGCTCAGCAGGGATGGAAAGTGAGCTTAGAAGAGAAGCTGTGAGTTGGACTGGGGCTGAATAGAAATCATGAGTCCACTGAGAAAGTCTTGGCTTCCCTTGATGGATTGAGCTAACATTTTTCCTCTACTGAGCGCAACTTAGTGCTCTTGACTTAGCATCAGCCAGTGAAACGAGATGATCACTTTCTCATATATAAGTCTGTGCCTGTAGCGCTAACCCTCTCCACCCCGTGCTGCAGTGACCTGTACACATACACTGCCTGTAATCACACGTGTCACACTGAACCCGTACCTGCTCACAGAGAGACAGAGTCCAGAGTCACAAGTTAGCTGATTAAATAAGAAAGCGTAGGAAATAGTATTAAACTTCCAGCTCTTCTAAATACTCAGAAGTCAACATAAAGTCTGCTAAGGATGAACTGACAAATAGGATCATCACCATCTTATTTGATAGCAAATGAATTCAAAGTGAAATGGAATGTTCGGGTAAAATGGTCACCGAACAATAGAATAAAACTACTAAGGACCGGGATGAAAAGTCTGAAGGGTGGACTCAAACTCCACAAAACTAAGGGAAAGACATTCAATTCGACTTCAGTAGTAGAAATGAAATTAAGGGCACACGTAAGTTTTCTTTTGCTTCACCCTGTATCTGCAGTCTCTCCTAATAGCTACATGAAGAAGGTAAGGCAGACATTCATATGCAAATTTTACAGAGCACAAAATAGTTATCAGTGGAGATGTGAAACACAAGCAGAAGGGCAAAACAGACCATTTTAGCACATTTAGCCTTTCTTGCCCTCTGATGTTATTTCTGATGTCCTGTGGGTTCCGGTGTGCTGCCCAACTGATTATTTCAGTGTAATGTGTACAGCAGTGTATAGAATTTTATACCCACAAAAGAAATAGCACATGCTCCTGAGACAGTGCAGAGCACTGCCCTCCCATAACGTCATGCGCGAGCTGCAAACTTGACCTGTGTTGGCCTACATGGGACCAACACTGAATCCACTGTGTCCTAGACCATGCTTAGCTATTTAAGAGAAACGTGAAAGGAATTGATAAAGAAGAGACTCTGGGGGGAGATTATGGCAGGAAATAGGTGAGTAGAATATGGATTTCTAAAGTTTACGCATTAGGGCAAGGGAAAAATAAGCATTTTCTCTACCTGGCAGTACTATTTGCCCTTTCAGAATTTCACACTTTCATTCTTAAAAAGTTACCATTTTACAGTCACCATTAAAAAAAAGACAAGGATGACTCAAGAAGAAAAATTAAATGATTACGTGAGTAAAAAACGTATCTCAGAGATTAATGAGTTGGTGCTGTTCTGTCTGGCCAAGATAAAGGAGAGTAAATCTACCAAACAGAGCAATTTAAGAGGACAGCACAGACCAGTTACAGATCAGCGTGTGCAAATAGTTCTGTGGAGGTTTGACTAGCTAGATATCGAGACAGTGTCTCTATTCTTTTGAGCATTTAAAGCTGCAGCACTCAGAAAGGAAACAAAGTCTTGAATTCAGTTTTTCTTTTAATCAGGTAACTTTGATTACTCTTCTATTTCGGGCTAATCATCGTGCATTCTTATGAAAAAGTAAATGTGGGCACTTAACATTGATTAACATGTAAAGAGAAGGCTCCTAACCACTTCAAAAAATGAATATGGTATTTTTTTTTATCTATCCACCCATTCATACCTGTTTCTGAGAATAAAGAATCTCTTCTCCCAGTTTTTGCTTATTCTTTCTGATTCCTTCCTAAATCTGTAATAAATTTACATATGGTTAAATATTGTACTGGTTATAAAGGAACAATCATGAGTCATTATGCCTAGTACCTTTCAAACTTCTTTTTCACATTCTCTAAATCAGCCTTTAGTGTTTCTGTTTCTGTCTTCAAAGCTTCTTTGTCTTCATCCTTCCAGTAAAAATACATCACAAAGTTTATTACATGAGCGACACGTGCTGTCCTCCCCAACTCTGAAAAGGCGCCCCTATTAAATAGCGGGCATATTCTGACCACTGTCAGAAGTGATTTGAGAGAACCGTGTGTCAGACTGACCTGTAGATTCCTGCCCATCAGGAGAGTTTAAGACCCCTCTCTTTCGTGTCCTGAGGCCCTGCTAGGACACATCCCAAAGCCATCAAACTCTGTCTGTGTCACACCCTCCACACAGGCAGTCCTGTTGTGAAATCTTTTTCTTTTCTTCCTCCTTCATGGAACCCTCCCCATCCCTTCTTCAAAAGGCAGCGGCTCCCCCTCTTTTACTCTCTTGCCCATTTCGAGCAAAACGGTTCTCAGGAGAGCATCCGACCAGTTTAGCCAAGTTGGAGCCTTATGCCATTTTCTCAGTACTGTTTATATCTTGCAGGAGGACAAAGATTTGAGCAAGAGGGGTGCAATCTCCCACAGAGGAACTGCTGACATGTCGTGAATGAGAGGTCTTCTTGGAGGCTGTGGCAGAAAAGTACCACAGGATCACACTAAGACTAAAGGCAACCGGGCCCTCTGTCTCTTTAGAAGACTTATTTCAAAGTCATTGTTACTCCCCAAGAATCAATATAAATAACAACTAGTTTGGTCCTAATGGTCCTAAGAGTCATTAACATACCTTAGAGAATGATACTTCCACTTTCCCATCTTCATGTGCCACAGTAGCTGTTTTAGATTTAACCTGACAAGAAAATAAAACAGGTGAAAAGCAGCATCTCAGATGAATGCCAAATGAGGTGGGTTTTCTGTAACGAACAGAAAGGAAACTGAGACTGAAAAAAAAGATGCCAACCTCGGGTCTTTACTGCCATTGGTAAACACACAGACCAAACAACCAATGAAACACATCCAGTGATATTGTCCAGTGAAGCCACAAGCTTAAAAAGCTTTAAAATGATTATCAGGAATTTTCACTACTGTACCTTACCTCTCTAGTAGAAGGCACAGCAGGCTATTTGGAAGTGATAAGATACACTGGATATAAAAATCATGGTTCTGGGATGCAAGTATTGCTTAGTGGTAGAGCATCTGCCTAGCACCTGAGCTTCTAGGTTTGACCCCAAGAAATGTGTGTCAGTGTCACAGTGCTTACTGCTTGCCATGTAAGAGATCTTGGGCTTGACAGAGTAAAAGAAAAACATCTTGGTTGACAACCTCTACAGTTCTCTACAATAGAAAAGTTCCCATTTATCACCACCCCTACCTTCTCCTTCCTCAAGTTGGTTCCTCCATCCAAAAGGTCTTTTGTGTTGTTGTCACCCTTGGCGGGCTTCTCTCTGTCAGTGGTGTGGGTCTCAAGTCTGGTCTTGGAGCCAACGTGAGAGAGATCAGAACTGTCCTGCAGCGTAGAGGAAAAGACTCAGAGCTCCAGAGCTGGAGAAGGGAAAACCCAGGCAAAAGCAGAGGTAGAGGGGCTGGTGTCTGTTGGGCTGCTGGTGAGCCGTGCCCAGGCTGGGTGCTCAATTTGAAATGGCTCTTTACTGATGCGAATTCACCTCTTACCTTCTTCGTTCTCCTCAGACTTACGCATGCAAAGGTGTGACAGGCTCAGGAGGTGTCCACAGAAATTGCAGAATCCGGTTGAAGTTGGTGCCTGATTCAGGAAAGTGCACTTCGGGAGAGCACACAGAAAGCTTTGGAAATGGGCTGAACTCAGTGGTAGGAGGGGGTCCACACCCAGCAGTGGCCACCAAAAAGACCCCCCTCAGAAAGTCAGGCCATGAACGTGCCTAAGGGTGCCACAAAGTGCCGAGTGTGCCTTTGAACCAATGAGGCGGGCAGAGAGGATGCGGCTCACACCAGCTGCCACGTACGCAAGTGCCAAAAATCGTAACAACAACCTCATGAGCTTCAGTGTGTTTAGTGCCTGTGTGCGGTATCATTTATGTCTCCATGTGCAGACCTGTCTGCTTCTTCATTCATATCACTTGGGGTTTTCCATGATAGAAAATGCAGGCACTTGTGTAAAAAATAAACTTCAAGTAGTGTACGTGGACAGAAAACTCTCTCTTCCCAGGCGATAAGAGTGTTGTTCCTCCTTTTATTTTGTGGTGCTGGGGATGGAACTCAGGGCCTTGTGTATGGGAAACCTGTGCTCTACCACTGGGCCCCACCCACTATACTCCTTCCAGTTTTTCTCAAGGTTATTATTATTATTATTGTAAATAATAGCTTTTATGAATTTGGACTCTCCCACAGTAAAGATTAGGAATGTAGGGCATTCACATTACCTTTCCTTTCTCCCTCTCCTGTACATGCACTATTATATTCCCTATCGTTATCTATTTATTTCTCTATTTACTAGCAGTGCTGGAGATTAAACCCAAGGCTTTGCCCATGGTAGGCAAGAGACCCACCATTGGCCTACACCCTTAGCCTTGCCTGTTTTTCTTTTTGTTTGTTTATTTTTTGGTACCAGGGATCGAATTTGGGATCTTGCGCTTGCAAGACAGGCGGCAGAACCACTGAGCTAAATCCCCAGCCCAAGATTGAATTTGGTTTCTTTTTTCTTTTTGGTACTGGGGATCGAACTCGGACCCCTGTGCTTGCAAGGCAGGTGGCGAAACCTCAAATCCCTGGCCCTTGCCTGTTTTTATTTTCATATATGCCTACGTCTTATAGGGGTTACTTTTATTATGACTTCAATATTTGTAAATTTTTGTACCTTGATGTATTTCTACATGCTGAGAAATTTACTTTTTTAAAACACTCTTCACTGGGCTGGGGATTTAGCTCAGTGGTACCACCACCTGCCTTGCTAGCACAAGGTCCTGGGCTCGATCCCCTGTACCCCCCCAAAAAAAACCCAAAAATAAAAAAACCCAAAAACAAGAAACACTCTTTACCTCCTTGTCCTCTTTTTCAGAAGAAATGCTATGCTTTTACCTTGCTGCACTGTAGAGCACAGTATCGCTCTAACTATAATTCAGTCCTTCGTGCATTATGAATCAGCCCCCTCGCTGATGTTCAAAACTGAACTCTAATTAATAGAGTTTACAACATGTAACCCATTACTGAACATTCACTCCTAAAACCAGGTACTTCCAAGGGATCACAGGTCAGTTTTCGATTCTCCTAGCTGCCCTCACGACTGAGTAACTCTCTTCAGTTTCTAGTGTTTACGCCTCCTTGCACATTTGGTTCCTTTTATGTTTGGCTTTGTCCTGAATGGTAAACTTTTTGAGTGTTCACAAGTTCAAAAATATCTTTATTCTGTTTATATTCTCAATTGAGACTTCAGCTGGGTAGGGTTCAAAGCATATATATTTCTTCTTTTGAAAACTTTGCACAATTTTCTTGCAGCTGCAAGTGTTGTTAATGAGAAGATTAATATAAATCTCCTTTTTAAAGGTTCCATTGCAATTAAACTGCCTTTTCCTCCGTATTTCTCTCTTAAAATTTTGTGGTTTTAAATTTTCAGTAACATTTACCCTCCCTCCCTCCTTCCTTCCGTTCTTTCCTCCCACGCCCCTGGTCTCCCTCCTGGTGTGGGGGATCAAACCCAGGGCCTGCAGCATGCTTGGGAAGAGTTTCACCACTGAGCTACACGCCCAGCCTGTTTCACTCAGTGTAAGATGACACCCTGCCCTGCTAACATGTTGGTATCTCTGAAACTGAGCTGTCTTACAATTGCTGTGGATCTCATACTTTCTTTGGCAGTTTCTTGCATAAATCGATAATGTGTCTTATACGCAGTACCATCAGAGATTTGATAAGACATAGTAAGCATTCTGCTTTTCTTTTAAAAATCCATATTTTTAAAATATGTTGGGTCTTCCTATCTGAATATTAATGTTGGGGTTTATATCCCCTTGATCCTTAGAAATTTTTAAAAATTTCTATTATCTCACCTTTGTTCTGTTTCGCTTTTATAATATTCCTATTGGGATGGTATTAGAATGCTTGGATCTATCCTTTGTGTTTGAGCTTTGCTTATAACTTTTGTATGTCATTTCGCACGCCAGCCTAGACTTTATCATCTAGATTAATTAGGTCATGAGCTATGTCAACTTTGCTATGTAGCTTGTCCATTGTGTTTTTAAAAATATTTTTATTACTTCCTAGAAGTTATTCATTTGCTCAGTTTATTGCTTTTTCACTGATGTCTGTTCTTGCCTAGTGGATAAAATATACTCTTGGGTTTCTGTTAAAGTAGTTGCCTTTTTACAAGTCTTTTACATTGTTGTCTGTTTTCTTGTTTTCTGCAGAACCAAGTGCTTTGTTTTATTCTCCTCATTTTCCACTCATTAATTATTTACTGAACATCTTCTATGTGCTAAGAATTATTCTAAATATAAGAGACCATCAGATATAAAACAGGGCTGCAGAAGACAGAAAGGAGTTGCAAGAATTTATAAAAGAGGAAGGGAGCTTTTTGAGTGAGAACAGAGCTGCCTGGAAATTCCCATTTCAGCAGATAGATGGGAAGTATCCCATTCATTTAGATAAGAATAATAATGGAATAGGGCCAATTTTGCATGGTATTTTTTAACTAAGAAAATTTGTAAATTAAGATTCAAACAGTTCAAAGCTGGTGCGCATAGTGGTGCACATCTCTAATTCCAGTACTTTGGGAGGCTGAGGCGAGAGGATTACAAGTGTAAGCCCAGCCTGGGTAACTTGGCGAATAGTAAGACTATCTCAAAATTAAAAACAACAACAAACTTTTTAAGAAGGGCTGGGGTGCGGCCTAGTGAGAAGCCCCTAGGTTAAATCCTCAGTATCTCTCTCTCTCTCTCTCTCTCTCTCTCACACACACACACACACACACACACACACACCCAAACACTTTGAGTTTGAAGTATTCATGGCCTGCTCACTGACAACTGGAATAATGATATGGACATTTTCTTGATCCTAGAAATACAATTCAGGAGCCATTGCTATATTAGGTGAAGATAAAAGATTCGCATAGGCCTTTCATGAAATGTATACACAGAGAAAAGCAAGAGGTCAGGAATGGAAGCCTGCTCCCTGCCATGGTACTTTTGAGTTTTCTCTGGCTGATGTCAGGATTCTTGGGACTGGCTTAATGCTGAGCCCTGACTGTAGCCATCACTCTTACCTTAGTTGTCTAATTCAAACCCCTGCTCTGTCACAATCTCAGAAAGCCCTTTGGTTGTCCCACCCTTCCTAAGGTTCCCTTAGTCTGCAAGTATCTTAAAATTCCTAGAAGACACTGTCTCCACCACCACCAGCACAATGACTACATCGTCCCAAGGCCCACGTGACAGGAGACTAGCCAAAAGAAAGCCCAAGGCAAAACACTAGCCAGTTTTTTACAAATGCAACAAAATGAGTTTGTTACCATCAGCCTTCTTTGTGGTAAAAACTCTGGGGGTCATCAAAGTGACAGGAGGCAAGTGCTTGTTTGGGTCCTACTATTCACTTGCTCTCAAAAGTCACAGCTTGCTGGAACCACTTCCGTCCAGGGCACAGGACCACAGAGTCGGTTCACTGTTACCTACTTTTAACAGCACAGTAGATGAATCAGGCTGGGTGGTGCATGCCTGCAATGCCAGCACTTGGGAAGCTGAGGCAGGAGGATTGCTGTGTGTTTAAGGCCAGCCTGAGCTACGTAGTGAATCCAAGTCCAGCCTGAATTACCTAGTGAGACCCTGTCTCAAAAAACAAAAGAAAACCCGGTATGGAAGACAATAGAAATCACAGGGTAAGAGCCCAAGCTTTTGGGAGGCACTTACAAGTATAATAAAAGAGAAAAAATTCACCCAAAATAAAAAACAATCCATCCCCAGAATAACAGGAAACTAAAGTGATAAAATTTATTCCACGTAGAAAGACATTTTTACCTTGTTTTGGTATATCCAAAGTCATGAGAATAACTGAAGATTTATTTTTAAAAATTCTGTTCTTAAATTCACACAGTAAAAATTAGCTTTGATCTTAAGGCTCCATTTTCCTGGTTCACACATAATGGTCAACTATGTAATGACTGCAGATAAGGCCGCGCTAAAGCGTATCTTCTGTAAAGCAAATAATCAGTCAGCCATCCCAAAGGACAACAGATTCTATTACAATGATGAAGATAGCCCCTCTTTTCATTAAAAAGAAGGAACAAAACACAGCACAGGACAACTAGAGTGTTTGCTCTCCAGTGTACGTTGAACTTTCTACTTTGCTATAGTGCGGCACATTGAATCCTCGCTCTTCACATCGTTTTGTTTTTCCAGCTGCGGACATTCCACTTTCTCTGGAACACGCACGCTGGCCTTCCTGTGGTCACGTCACTAACAGGTGCAAACACTGGGCTGCTACCCAGTAGACAGGGGCGACAGTGAACGGGCCTATTATAGGAGAGCAGCTAACTTCCTGACTAGG